CTTTTGGGAACTGGTGATTAATAAGATTTTAATGAAAGCATTTTTAGCTCCATTGGTAATCTTATTTGTTATCCCACTTGCACAGTTGAATTAGAAGATGTTAAAATGTTGATCCATCCTACTGACACAGATTTGGCAATCAGTTCAAGAGTAAAGGAAGTTACTATCAATCTACAATTGATTGATGATAAAGATTTGCAATATGATCTTTATGATTAGGCTGACTGGATTTATAGCTAAATTAAGAAAACTAAAATAGGATGATTGATTATTATTCTCATTTTTATTTTGTATTGGAATTTGAAATGTTCAGGATATATTCATGCCAACCATCTCTTCGGAGTGATTTACAATAGTGTAGTGAATACTTTTTTGTTAGAAATCCATATTATTTTTTTAAAATAATTATGATTTTACTTATCTTATTATTTAAGTGTAAATATATAAATAAAACAAAAATGAAAAGACATACATTATGGAACTAAAACTGACAGCAACTATTTTAAATGTGAATGTATGTTCTCTTCTCTCCCCAGTTCATCTTTTACCTACAGTTGCTATTCACTTATACATTTTTTGCCAGTATTTTAATGTTCTGTAAGCGGTAAATCAGTCAAAATAACAGAAAAAACACATGACTTCCATGCAGTTATAAAGGTTGGGCCTACATGTTTAAAATAATTACACAACCCTAAATAGATATGCAAACATCGAACAATAGTTCAGCCCTTAAACTGCAATATTATTATTAAAATATAAGAAAAATATTTTTATGTTATGATACTCAAGTAACTAATGGCATAAAGTCACCATTGTTGGTCCCCGTCCTGTCCCCCCACTTTGACTGATACCTTAGACATGGAGACATACTTCATGTTGTTTGTGCATCCAAACATGCTTACTCATGCAAAATTTATCTGACTGCTTCCTCCTACTGGGAGAAAACTGTAGGACAGGATTAATTAGCACAGCGTGTGTGATCACATTGTTTGAGGATTCCTTGTCTGTTTCCATAGTGACACCACAGGAAGCCACACATCTTTTCTTCTGAAAGTCAGCCCTGCGTGTATTGGTGATCATCAGAACTTTTAATTTTAAGAGCAGCAATGAACATGAAGTCAAAAGGTAATGGGAAAAAGATTGTCAGGCGAGCATATAATATTTGCTCTCAGTTGTGGCCCGAAGACAGATTTATATAGATAGCTTCATGGTAATCCCATGAACTGTCTTTCAGATCTTGCTCTTTCTAACAGATAAAAAGGTCACTCAAAAGGCACCCTGCTGCTACCACTCAATTCTTTACAGTAACAAGACAACAATAAGGCAGTTGTTAGAAGTCAAGGCACATCACCTAATCATGAAGCCTATCATAAATTCAATATAAAACCTCTACAAATCAAAAGGTGAAGAGGCTGTGCTATTTGTGTTTTCCTTTGTATATTCCCTTCATGCCATAAATGCTACTGACAATGCACAATCAAGATCACTTAATGCCAATTAAATTCCCTTCTGTGTATCATATCCATTCTTTTAAACATATAACTAATGTGGTTAAATACATTTTTTTTCCTAAGGCTTCAGCACCAGTATACATACTGAGTAGCAATTTCAACCTATCCTAAGTACAGCATGAGAAGGGCACTCATTATTCAGCAGTAAACAGTTTACAATATTTGCTACTCAATTGTATATATCATACGATTTTTCAGTGTTCGTGCAATTGAAGAACACTTCACAATAATTCAAAGAGGTATTCCTTTGAGTCTGCAGAATCATCCTAATACCGTTTCAGAGTTTAGAAACCTATGTTTACATGTATGTGTTGATTTGTTTCATTCTCTAGGGGAGGGTTGTGTTAGGGGTGACTTGAGAAACTGCAAGTCACTTCTGGTGTAAGAGAATTGGCTGCCTTGCCTAGCAGACACCCAGATGTTTGATGTTTCACCATCCTTGTGGGATGCTTCTCTCATGCCCCACATGAGGAGATGGAGCTGACAGAAGGAGCTCAACCCACTCTCCCTGGATTCAAACCGCTGACCTCCATGTGTTATCGCCAATTAGGCATATCCCAAATTAGAAGTATTTCACAAATATATTGTTAAATAATTGCCACTATCTTTGTAAACTTTGTTATATTGTGTCGGAAAGGATATGCACAACTGCCTTGATTCCTGCTTGTGATTTGGAATAGCATTCCTATACTGATACAAATCAGTAGACATCTGTCAGTATGTTCAGCATTTCTGCATTTCATGCTGGATTTGAATCCCAAGCCCAGAAGACTGTAGTAATATGCCAAAAGGCTGAGGTGGCTACACATGAAAAACTAGGGTTTAAGTCTAATTGCTAGTCTCAAGTAAAGTATATCCATTAAAGCAGTAGAAATTACATAAATGTTGATGTCCTGTTGCGCAATTGATTCTATAGGTCAATTTTGGTTGGAATGATCAAGTGATTTTTGGCCTAGAATTACAACTATTCTTCCCAAGACAACTCAGTTTGCAATAGTCAAGACAACTACAGTTGAGAAAAGTACATCCTGGGAGAACTTTAAAAGAACACTGATCTCCTCTACTCTCTCCACCACAGTACTGCTTTTGGTCTTTATGAATACCTAATTGGGAAAATGGTAGCACTGGCCAGGGGTGACTGGCCTGAAGTGACACTAGTGCTTTACTTTTTTCATGAAATGACCCTCAACTTATCCATGGGGCATATTAAAAAATACATCATTTTGGCCCCAGAAACTATCCTTGACATTAAGTCAACTTATACATACCCATATAACAGGCATGGGCAAACTTTGCCCTTCTGTGTATTTTGGACTTCAACTCCCACAATTCCTAACAGCCTACCAGTTTACCCATGCCTGCTATATAAAGTAGCTGTTTCAAATAGGATCTTGTCACCAATGAATATGAATACACATATTTTGATGTAGCAGTTACAGAACTCTCATTTCATACTCTATGGTTACAAAACTTTTTAAAACTCTGTAAATGCAAATAGGGCCATTTTTAAAAAGTTACATCTTCAATCTCATATCAAACTTCGCATTTCTTTCTCAAATGAACAGTTCTTGAAAAACTCTAAAGGATAATATAAATATATACTTAAAATTTTAAAGACATTTATATCTCTCCAAGTTTGTTGAAATGTTTAATTTGCAGCCCTGTTGGATTGGGATTTGTAACATACTTCTAGAAAAGCAGACACACTTTTTTAAATATTAAGAATATTAAACTACATATTACAAAATGTATTGAGCCTGGAGCCTTGCAAGAAAACATTTGAAAACCCTCTCTCAAAATCATCAACTTATTTTATACTCTGCTGCACTCTTCTCCCTCCCCTTTCCCCCACCCCACCCCAACATATAGCTCATAATAATGTATTCTGTCATGGTAACAAAATAAGAAAAACCTTATAATCTCTTTTCCTAAAATATTTCCAATTCCCTGTTCATTGTAACAATAACCAAAGGAACAACCAAATCTCACTACAGTACACACAACTGAGTTTAGAAACTATAAAGTTAGTTCCACATCTCAAGTTTCAACGCATGATTTCTAATTTATCCAAAAGGACTCCATGGTTTGTTATAGGTAGCATATTATACTTGCAAAGAGAAAAATATCAAATTGACTCAGATCAGATTCCCCACACCATTGTTTAACTACATCATAGTAAGAAAATTTAACAGGGCAAGGAAGCTGAAGCCCTCTATATGGTGTTAAATTTAATCTCCCATCAGGCCCAGTCGACATGGCCAGGGCTTCTTAATAGTTTAATCCCTGAACATCTAAAGGACCAGAGCTCTCCCATCCTGCTATAGAACTCATTGGCCAGTAGTAGCAGTAGGAAGAGGAAAAATACCTATGTACATCTACTTTGTACAATAGTACAAAGTATTGGAATTTTATTGGCCAAATATTGCTTTAGACTCAGCCAATTTTTAATTTTAGGTATGTGGCCTGTATCTCTTTCCCTCTGATAGGAGGCAAACATTCTTTTAGAGTGCTGTAGTCATTTAATAACAATAAAAGAAACTCTAGTCTGTGTCTTTTAATTTCAAGAATTATAAGGGACGTAAATTGTTAGTCACAATTGGGAATCCATCAGCTTCAAAACAGTGTGGTGATGAGAATATTCCCCTTAGTATATTTATCTAAAAACTATGATTTTCCAGAGGTCTCTGTGTATTTGACTTTTAAGTCCTGAGGAGATGAAGTAAACTAAAGATAAAATATGCCCGGTACTGTATTGAAAATGTAATTGTACTGTGTCTTTCCTGTGTTGACTTTCAAAAGCTGAATCTGATAATCTTCTTTAAAGGTAGATTCTTTTTTGTATTTAATGTACTGGAAAAATAAGCCGACCATATAAGAAATGCACATTCATTATTGGCATAATTAATTACACAAGAAACAACTGCCTTCATCAACATTTTTATATATTCTATAATGATGAATTCCACAATATATTTGTATTCTATATAATGATAATTTTAAAAATCTTCCTTATATATTTCTTGTTTTTCCCCAAACCATATTTTAAAGGCAAAAGCCATATGATAACATACTAGTGCTGGAGAAGTCCAGCCACCAACAAAAAGTTGAATGAACAATATTACAGATAAGCTTACACTATTTCTTTTTTTTTGCATTCCAATGGAATACAGAAATTGGTTCATGTGACCATAGCTCTAAAATCCTGCAGAAAATATTAGTATCTACTTTAGCATATTATTCCCTTTATCTTAAATCTTCGAATCAAAGCTAGTATAACTCCTAATCTGAATTTCATCTTTTTCATATGTTCTTCCTAATAGAGATGTGAAAGTTATTGCTAGCTTTGGAAATGATTTCTACTTATTTCATTTGATTTACCTTTAAGATGACCACAGTCTACTTATGACTATGAGAAAAATTGCTGATATCATGGCTTGACATTTTTCACAGCATAATTTTTAAAAATCTTGTAATTAACAGCTTTCTTACCAAAATCTGCCAGCTTCAACTCCCCAGTGTCACTGATCAGAAGGTTTTGTGGTTTCAGGTCCCTGTGCAAAATGAAACGCTGGTGGATGTACGAAAGTCCTCGCAGCAATTGAAATAAAAATAACTGAAAAAGAGGAGAAAACATTATCTTTATTAACAATTGCATGCAGCTAATAAAGAGCAGTGTGCTTGAATATAAATGAAACAGTTGCTTAAAGTTGTTGTAGGTTTTTTCGGGCTATATGGCCATGTTCTAGTAGAGGCATTCTCTCCTGACATTTCGCCTGCATCTATGGCAAGCATCCTCAGAGGTTGTGAGGAGTTCCTCTAAGCTTTATCACAGGTACAATTAAAAACCCCAATATTTAAACAACACGGGAATCTAAATATAATGAACATTCATTTCACTACAGTCACCTGCTTCAACAATTTATAATAATAACTGCAAACAAAAGAAGCTCGAATTACAGTATATTGTTTACCCATGTCCTTTGAGATTACATGGTAGCCTAGACAGATGTGTATTTTAACTATCTATAGGAAACTAGAGCATGTGGAGAAGAAGAAACTTAGGACTGAGACCAAAAAGGGAAGCAGGTGGAGAAGAAAGCAGCATAAATAATATACAAACTTTTATTTCAAATATTTACACAAGACTTTATAAATGAATTACTTAGCATGTGATCAAAAGCAGGTGTTCTTCCTCTTTTAATACTGTTAATACATTGACAATAGTAATAGATTTGTTCATAGCATGATAACATATCCAAAATACAATGTGAACTAATTTTATTTAATTTCAACTCGTATGAAAGACACTTTTCAAAAGGCTGTATCAAATATTAGCCTTGCATGCTAGCAAGTGATACAATTGCTTAGTGCTTATTTCATTGTACTACAACTACATCAACATGTCAAACAATAAATTAGCGATATACAGTATATTTTATAAAATAGTTTTAAGATAGTTATTACATAGTAAGAGAGCACTTTAAAGGTATAGTGCACTTGAAATATTGGCAACAGATACTACACCTCACCCAGGAGCTCGCCTACTTGTAAACAATGGGGTTCTGTTCTTTATGTGGAAGTATTAGATCATTTAAAAATTTCAGAATCAATATACTGACATGAAATAGTTTCTAATTAGTTCCCAATCCAGTATCTGTATGAAACTGTGAAATATGATTATAGAAGAGAATATAGAAGAGAAGGTGATATGAAAGTACAGAAATGTCATATTACTAATAATATGAGCTGATCAGATTTAATTAAATTTCCTTTTGCCCCTGTACACATACAGTATATTAAAAAGAAATGTCTTTCCAAGGCTAACAATTCTAAGGAAAAAGTTAAAAAATCCACTAAACTAGAAGGGTAAAATAACTATCATTCAGCATGATATTTTATAGGTGAGTTCATGTGGTGCTGTGGTTAAGGACTGTGACTTGAAAGATCCAGGTTCTAGTCCCTGGAGAATCAGGAAACTCACTGGGTCTGCCACATACTTTCCTAGCCTGTTCTGTTTCACAGGGTTGGTGTGTAAATACAGTGGAGAGCAGGACAGGTGATATAAAGGAAAGCAATTCAAAAAGGTGGTATAAAAGTGAGCATTGTAAAATTTGATTTAGGCATGTTAAAATGTCAAAACTTTAGAACTGTGTCCACTGGTTTGAACGATACACTGTCCCAAGTTACTTAGAAAGTTGTTTGACTGGCACATCCTTGCTACAGTTTGGTTGAATTGCTGTAAACAAGACAACTAATAGCTCTTAAATGTCTGGGCCATGTTTGCCTCTAGTATTGTTCATGAATCTCTTGTTATAAACATAGTCTTCCCAAGCCAAGGCACATAGATGTAGATGTATTCGTAAGCAATTCCTCACAACGTAAGGTTACTAAAAATAGTTCCTTCATTCATCAAGAATGTGATCCTTCTACAAAGGACCTACCAACTAACTCCCAAGTAATATTTCTTGCCAATATAAATTTTGTAGAAGAACTCTGGGACAGAAGATCTTATTGATGAAGGGCAACATTAAATATGACATGGATCGCTTCCCCCACTTTCCTTCTGTTCCCTCTCCCAGTCATTCTATTGAAAGGAAGAGGTAGTTCTGGCATCTTCAGCATCCATTACATTCTCTGAATGTATGGTTATTTCATTTGTTCCTGTAATAGGGAAAATTAGAAAATGTTCTTGTTGCAATGATGAATGACTACATCTGTCCTGTCTTGTTGAAAATCATAATGTTGAACACGTGACACTACTCCACTTCCCCTGACCCTAAAACTCTACTTGATAAAAATGGTCTTTTTGAGAGCTATTCCAAAGGGAACCAATGTTAATTTCCTACTCTGGTAATACTTCCATGTCACAAAAAGGATGTAAAACATGCACAAACCTTCATGCATGTCCTTACTGTATACTTAGCTATGACAGCAGATAGCTGAACAGCGGAAGCTACAATTATCCATATCTAACTACACGAGTTATCCCTGTGCAGGAGATTAATCAGCATTTGAAATATCCCTAAAAATGGCAAGGGAAACAGTCAAAAGTTCTTTGGCGAAAAACTTCTAAGCCTAAGCATTCCCCACAGGCAGTTTAGAGTGTCCACTATCTTTCTCCAAATCAGCAGAATTTTACATCTAGTTGTAAAACCAGTTTGGAAAACAATTGCGATAAGTGGACACTGTGGAAGCAGTTTCTGTTATTCTTGAAGTGAGCAACAATATTTATTGCTATCTAAAGAAAGAAAGGTGTCAAAACTTAGAGCAGAAGAACAACACAAGAACAAAAACTTACTTTCATTTCTTTTTAAGATTTTTTTAAAAAAGAAATACCAATATAGCCTCAAGATTCAGCGTATGAGCATAATGCTATCTATATGGTTTTTAAATCTAAATGGTAACGGGACCTCCTAAAAGCATTGAATCAAAGGCATCATTTCACAAAAAATAGTAGAAAAAGAAATGTGTTCAGATAAAAGCATTAGTACAGTGTATTTTTAAAAAACTGCATTTGATGGCTGCACAAAATATCATGCTTTTTCTATTTTGCCTTGACAACAACACTTCAACTGAGGTGCTGCTTTCCAATAATAAGGCCTGAGGGAAGCTGCCATATGAAGGTCAAACCAATTTAGAGGTTTATGGAGTGTGATATCAATATGTTAGTAATGATTAAAACGTAAGGGCAAACACATTAAAACCAACAATTTATTCACTAAAGACACAGCAGTGCACTCAGCAAGGACTAGGTCATTTCCTCTCTCCAGTCATATTACATGTTACAAACAAGAACTGCTTGTGACTTATAGGAATGCCCAGTCTTTGGATTCCATTCACTGCACTTGTACACATAAGAAAAGTTATAGAAAATAGGAAACGGATATAGAAAGCACTGTTAGCACTGCCATTCCACAATTGCACCCATCATATTTCATTTACCTATGGGGCCCAGATATCCCCTGGGAAAAGATGTGTGTGGGAACACCTCCACTGTTCTATGAGTCTTCTGGAGAGAGGGCTAATGAAAGAAATACACTGTATTTCTATTAATAATAATAATAATAATAATAATAATAATAATAATAATAATAATACCATTGTTAATACATGGTTTGTGTTAACTGATTGAATTTTCTTCTCTTCAGAACTGTTGTCCGATATGCAGGCTCCAGATGAAACTAGCTCATTACTGACAACTGGGCGGGGGGGGGGGGGAGAGAAAAGAAAGGACTATAGATATTCAAGGTTTCCTATTAATGAGGATGGGAAAATTGCTTTGAATTATCAACAGCCCATTGTAACATACAAAGAAGAAAATGGTCCTATGTGGGTGTTAGAAGAGCCCCCATTTCTTTTTTTCTTATCCTTTAAGACCTAGGTAGTATCTGCTTCGTGATCATAATTGCTGGAATATCCTTTTAGGGTTAATCAGTTTCCCTTTCCATGGAACCAATTACATTTGTCTGTTATCAGTTCTGGAATCTTTGCCCAGCAAAAACGCGCAACAGTCCACTTGGTTAAAAGTTTTGCTACTTTCACAGAGTATAAGTAATAATTCTCCAGTATTTATATGCAAAAGGCAACAATAAGATAACGTGGAGCTATAAAGTTGATATGTTTGATTACTCTGATGGGGCCTTTGGTCAATGTATAATGCAAAAAATGTGCCTAGCACCTAAGAAAGCATGGCCCTACCTTAGAAAACATCCCATTCTCATGGTAGCATAGAAACTTCTGAGAAAGGAAATTAAGGTAATTTCAAATTGTACCTTCAAGATTCTAAAAATTGAAAACATTTTTCTTTTTAAGTCATTCTTTTTTTTTTTTTTAATTTTTCATTTGAAATGGAAGATACCACAGAATGACAATATTGGACAGTATTCTTAGATCACCAATAGTACAGATCAACAAAAATATCTTGGTGTTTTGGTTTTTAGGCCTGTTTCTGGGCTCTTTGGGATGCTGATTCAGAAAATGGTATTGGATGGGCTGCATCAGCTCTAGTTTCTTAGATATGTTTGCCATGGCTTTCTATGGGCCAGCATAGTTCTGTATCTCAAAAACTAGAGCTAACGGGAAACTACTGCCGTTTTTTGAAACAAGCAGGTCAAACAGACCCAGAAACAGGTCTAACATTTGAGACAGTGTAATAATAAAAATAATTTTAGCATACTGGAAGAGTAGTAATAATAGTATCACCCCATTTTTCTCCTAACACCTACAGCAGCCCACAACCTTAAAAACTATACAATTTAAAACTTTATAGAATATAAATATTAAAATATAATTACATAAAGGTAAAGATTTTCCCCTGACATTAAGTCCGGTCATATCCAACTCTGGGGTGTGGTGCTCATCTCCATTTCTAAGCCGAAGAGGTGGCATTGTCCGTAGACACCTCCAAGGTCATGTGGCTGGCATGACGGCATGGAGCGCCGTTACCTTCCCGCCATAGCGATACCTATAGATCTACTCACATTTGCAAGTTTTCGAATTGCTAGGTTGGCAGAAGCTGGGGCTGACAGCAGAAGCTCACGCCGCTCCTCGGATTCGAACCTGTGACCTTTTGGTCAACAAGCTCAGCAGCTCAGCGCTTTAACCCACTACGCC